CAGCACGCTGACCACAAGGCTATTGCACCGATCTGCCTTCTTTTTGAATGTGTAACACCAACTTTTTGATTTTTACCAAACAATTCATGTCTTTTTTTTACACAGAATTGTCATATTATGAATGTAAATATGTGAAAAGTGTTTCATGGTGACTTTAATAATTGTAGACTGGCCTAGTCTGTATTCATTTTTTTACTTATGTAGTGTATACTTAATTATATGAAGTGGATCTTTTGGTCATCAATACTCAGAGCAATTTCATATTTTCAGTAAGAACGACTACATTTTTAGTAGCTACTTCACAAGCTTGATTGAGATTTCTTTGGAGATGATTGTCACACCTTTAAATATACATTTCTGGAACAAGAGAATCAGATTACCCACCTCTCACAGAGGGGGAGTGCACCAGCCCCCTTGTACTTATGTGCCCTTTGGTACTGGGGAAGCGGAACTGATTAGGGATGGCTGCGTATGCATGGGGGGCGTAGAATATTGGTGCTCCTAGGTAGGCTGCAGAGGGGTCGTACATCTGGCCTACGGTGTAAGCATAGTCTTCTTGGACCAGAGTCCCGCCACGACCCCCTGTGCCTCGGGTATACCGAACATAACTATCCTTATCCACAGGCTTGGCTAGTGTGACCTCAATGGGAGATCCATCAATGACCTGGAGGAAAATCAGAGTTTTTTATACAGCATTATTTCATGATGATTCAAGTGGGTTTCAATTAGGTTGTGTGCCGCCTTACCTTTCCATTCAATTCGTTCATGGCATTGATGGCATCCTCTCTTTGAGAGAAATGAACAAAAGCGTAATCTCGGATCTTCTTCACTCTTTCAACAGCACCTGTAGATTAGCCAACACTGTAAATAATTCAATCAAATCCTATAAAACGATGAAATTATTTACTTGAGAGTTCAGACCGAGAAACAGAATATTTTTTTGTCCATACTGTGAAAGTCAATGGGGTCCAATGTTGTTTAAACACTTTTTTTTTTTTAAATATCGGCTTTGGTGTACCTCATAAGAAAGCAAGCCAGATTTGGATTCCTATAAGTAAACTTTGGTGCATAACCCATCAAGACTTTTTCTGTTTTATGAACATGAATGATACCTCTAATTATGCGGCTTGTTATGCAATTACTTTTCTAAGTGCTTACGTTTACGATTTTCACCTGGCATATGATAGAAAGAGTGAAAAAAAG